CGTATTAACCAGGATGGTCTCGATCTCCTGACCTCGTGATCCGCCCGTCTCGGCCTCCCAAAGTGCTGGGATTACAGGCTTGAGCCACCGCGCCCGGCCTCTCCTAAATATTTTTAAAGCATCCCACCTGCCAATCATGACAAATTAACAGGCAGAATCTAGTTTGGAGCCTGTTTCCAGAAACTAATATCCAGAACTTGACTCTGGAATACTTGAAGAAACTTGAGTACTATAAAGCTGAAAATGATCATCACTATTATCTACAGTATTGTTCCCTGACATGGTATTAGAACAAGTGTCTAGCCTTTTGCTGGGGTTGAATATCTTTTGCAACTCCATTTTTAGAGTGCCTGCTGTAGCCAGCACTTGATGTAATTTCTTATTTAAACTTCATAATACATTTAGTTTGAGAAAACAGCATTAGGTATCAGTCACTTTTGCTGATCCTCACTGGCAGGCGGCAGAGCCCCAGGTTAGCCTGTCATAAGGCTCAGGTGCTTTCCATCATACCACACCACCTCCCAACAGCCTGAAATCAAGCACACAGCTCCTTCCAACAAGGCCCACCAGTAGACCATGCTATTGAAGTTCTGGAAATCTGCTATAAATGGGACCAGAAAGATTTTTTTTTTTTTTTTTTTTTTTTGAGAGAGGGTTTCACTGTGTCGGCCATGCTGCAGTGCAGTGGCACAAATCATGGCTCACTGCAGCCTCTACCTACCGGGCTCAGGTGATCCTTCCATCTCAGCCTCCCAAGTAGCTGGGACTACAGGTGCACACCACCAAACCGAGCTAACTTTTTGTATTTTTTGTAGAGACGGCTTTGCCATGTTGCCCAGTCTGGTCTCAAACTCCTGGGCTCAAGCCATCCTCCCACTTCAAGCCTCCCAAAATGCTAGGATTGTAAGCATGTACCACGATGCCCAGCCCAGAAAGAACTTTTGTACCTGAATCAGGTATGCTGCCACCATAGTGGCACTCCTGGAGCGCCCAGCCTTACAATGCACGTAGACACACTGGCCCAGCGACTGGTACTTGAGAGCAAATTGGACTCCCTTCTGGAGGTGGTCCAAGGTAGGGATTCCAGTCATGTCTACTGTGCTGAGCCGCAGCTGCTCGACTCCTAGTCTCTTCCACTCCTGGAACCAGGTCCACCAGTATGAAAAAGAATGAAAAAAACCTGATGTGGGTGGGATGATAAGGGGCTCCTAAGAGGCAGCAAAGCAACAGGGAAGTTTCAGGGTTTACTACAATGGGAATACACTGTTTCCTGTTTTCTAAAATAGAAACTCCTTACAGAAATGCTTTTTTTTCCCATTCCGGGTGAGGACAGAAATGTCTTTAAAATGGCTGGCCTACATAGTTGGTTTTTCATCAAACAGCAGCTATGCTGCTGAGTTAGAATTATGTCCAAGATTTAAAGTGTTCCTTTTCTTTTATTAAGGCAGAGTCTCGCTCTGTTGCCCAGGCTGGAGTGCAGTGGTGTGATCTCCGCTCACTGCAACCTCCACCTCCCAGGTTCAAGCGATTCTCCTGCCTCAGCCTCCTGAGTAGCTGGGCCCACAGGCACGCGCCACCGAGCCTGGCTAATTGTATTTTTAGTAGAGACGGGATTTCATCATGTTGGCCAGGATAGTCTCGAACTCCTAACCTCAGGTCATCTGCCCGCCTCAGCCTCCCAAATTGCTGGGATTACAGGTGTGAGCCACCACACCAGCAGGTAAAGTGTTCTTAAACTACCCTTTGTGTACTTGAATATTTAGCTGCAAAATATTAGCTATATATATTTTAGCTGCAAAAAATTCAGCTGCAAACATCTTAACATTTTATTTCGGCCGGGCATGGTGGCTCACGCCTGTAATCCCAACAATTTGTAAGGCTGAGGTGGGCAGATCACCTAAGGTCAGGAGTTCGAGACCAGCCTGGCTAACATGGTGAAACCCTGTCTCTAATAAAAATACAAAAATTAGCCAGGCCTGGTGGCGGACGCCTGTAATCCCACCTACTAGGGAGGCTGAGGCAGGAGAATTGTTTAACCCAGGAGAGAGAGGTTGCAGTGAGCAGAGATCACACCATTGTATTCCAGCCTGGGTGACAAGAGAAAAACAACATCTCAAAAAATATACATATTTTATTTTAGAGACACGATCTTGCTATGTCGCTCAGGTCAGAGAGCAGTGGTGTGCAATCATGGCTCCCTGCAGCTTCAAACTCCTAAGCTCAAGCAGTCCTCCCACCTCTGCCTCCTGAGAAGCTGTGACTACAGCTGCACGCCACTGTGCCTCGCTAATTTTGTTATTTTTGTGTGTGGAGATGGGGGTCTCGCTATGTTACCCAGGCTGGTCTCAATCTCCTATCCTCAAGCCATCCTCCTGTCTCAGCCTCCCAAAGTGTTGGGATTACAGGCATGAGCCACCAGGCCCAGCCAGTGTAACTTTTTTTTGTATAATTTTGGCACCTGTGTAGTGATTCAGCTGCAGATTTGGGGTACAATATTTTGCCAGGGCTTTCTATTTCTCTGTCCATAAGTCTCCTTTTTTTTCACCACTTTTTTTTTGAGGAAGCACATGGTAGAAAATAGGGTTATCATTTTAAAATTAAAAGAATGGGCCAGGCGCAAGACTCCGTCTGGAAAACAAAAAAAAACAAAAAAAAATTAAATTAAAACAATGCACTGACCTTCATTAGTGCAATGTCATCACTTACAAAGAAGAAATAGGTGGCCAGGTGTGATGGCTCTCGCCTGTAATCCCAGATTTTGAGAGGCCAAGGTGGGTGAATCGCCTGAGGTCAGGAGTTCGAGATGACTCTGGCCAACATGGCAAAACCCTATCTCCACAAAAAATACAAAAATTAGCCAGGCATGGTGGCGGGCACCTGTAATTCCAGCTACTTGGGAGGCTGAGGCAGGAGAATCACTTGAACCGGGAGGCAGATGTTGCAGTGAGCCGAGATTGCACCATTGCACTCTAGCCTGGACAATGGAGTGAGATGTGAGACTCTGTCTCAAAAAAAAAAAGAAGAAATAGGAGAAATAAGGTCTCTGGCAACTGGGCAAACTTTATGCTTTAAGACTTCAGATATCCTCCAGCTACTCTTATTATTAACCTCTTAATAATGAGTAT